GGAAGTCGAGAGAGAGCTAAATAAAAGGAGTTTTTTTGCAGCTCCATCCATTTCAAAGCTGCAGCTTTCCCAAGCCCCTTTCCGTCGCCCATCGTCACCTTCAGGCCGGTCAGAGGAGGGGGAGGACAAGAGCATGAAGGCGGCCCGGCAGCAGGTGAACCCCTCTGGGGAGAGCCAGCGTCCCTCCAGCCCGCTGCAGTCTGCCCTCAACTCGGCGGCCTCTCCTTCCCAGGCGTACGAGACTTACATCGACAATGGGCTCATCTGCCTCAAACATAAGATCAGGAACATTGAGAAAAAGAAGGTAACTTGCCGGTCTTTGGTGTGGCGTGGGTTTAAACTGCAAATTGTGAAACTCGGTGCCTGTTTTATAATAGCTGGGATAAGGTTGTCTGTGTGTCTGTAGAGAAATTACAGATTTTTTTTTTTCTTTAAATGACCAGGGAAACGACCTAAAAGTGGATCTGCTGGTGGGTTTTTTTATTATTTAAAACCCTTGTACAGTGAAGAGTGGTGTTCTTTACTGTTCTTAAAATGGGCTTCTTGAATTTGACGCTGTGTGAGCATAACATTATTGTTTCAGGGAATCGGGAATGCAGCTGCCCATAAACCTGGTCTCAGCTGCTGGCTTTACAGTGCATGTCCAGTAGTTTCCAAAAGTAATTGAATGTTGGTCGAAACTGGGGATGCTTCTCTAGCAGACTGAATCAATTCAGAACTAACATGGTACTGAGGTGGAACTGGTTTATAGCCTTGCAGAAATCTTCGTGTTTCTGCTATGGATTACGTGTGTCTAGTACTAGGATGTAGAGGTGTTTGTAACACTGGGAGTTAGGAACAGTGTTTTCTCCGAGTCGTGGGAATGTCAAACTGTATTTAGTATGTATTGCCCTTCACTTTGCAGACATCTTTGACTTCTGTATTTTGGATGTAGACAAATTCTAGTCACTGAAAGCTTTTAAACAGAACGCGTCCAAAGCCTGCTCTGTTGCTTTGAGCTGTGGTTTTCTGGGGTGGGGGGAACAGAGTAGTGTTGATAAGAACGGAGATAATGACACATCTGAAATGCTGTGGCTATAGCCAGTGAGGCTTTTGCATTCTAAGACTTTTCTGTTGATTAGCAGGTGACTGAAGGCTATGTGCATGATTTTTAATTGGGAAAATGCTATTTTCCATAAGATAAAAGAAATAATGGTACTGTTGCTTTTGGTACTGGGTCAGGATTACAAGTAAAGCACATGTGTGCATGTGTTGTGCTTCTCTAAAGGTCTGAAAAGCTTTGTGTTATGTCTTAGGGCGAGAAGAGGGAGTAGATCAGACTTCTGGCCACGTGGCTGGGGGACTTGATCCACCTGCAGGAGATGCAGCATTACTGCTGTCTCATGTCATGCATCATGCTGTAGTTTTGGACAGTGCCAGATAAGCAGGATTTCCTTGTGTGATTAACCAACTTGGTACAGTATTCTAATTCTGTGCAAGGAAGCTTATTGTGAATTTGAGTATCTTTGCTTCTTTCATGTGAATGACAATGTGGCCTCACCAGCAAATGCAAGTGTGACTTACTAGAATAAGTAGGAAGTATTTCTAGTCCTAGGCTCCTATAGGTGCTGTCTCAGTAAACCCTACGTGGGCAGATATGCAAATGAAATAGTATTCAATGTGATGGCAGTGAACTCCCCTTTCTTTTCCCTGTGTGTACAAGGAAGCTTGTAACACCTAACAGTTCAGGTTTGTATAATATACAGCAGCTTTTAAAGACTGTTTCAGTATATTAGGAATAAATCTTATTTCTTTCCTGAAGATGTTAGTCCACTTTCTTAGGAAATGGTGCTATAAAATCTTGGTGACATAACTGAAGCCAGATTTTGTAAGGTATGCTCTGGAAAATTAAGTAGGATTATTCAAGGAGAAGAGAGCTAAATTCCAGCATTGGTCTGGGAAAGCTAAAAAAGCCTACTTTAAAATGAGGACATTGGATGCGTTTGGAGCCCTTTCAAGATCTAGGGACAATGCATTAGTGTTGTGGTTTAACCCCAGCTGGCAACTAAGCACTAGGCAGCTGCCCACTCCCTCCCTCCAGTGGGATGGGGGAGAGAATCAGAAGGGTAAAAGTGAGAAAACATGTGAGTGGAGATAAGGACAGTTTAATAGGTCAAGTAGAGCAAGGAATGCATTCACCACTTCCCATCAGCAGGCAGTGTTCAGCTATCCCCAGGAAAGCAGGCTCTTGTCAGGTGTAATGGTTACTTGGGAAGACAAATGCTATCACCCCAAACATCCCTCCCTTCCTTCTTCACCCAGCTTTACATGCTGAGCACGACATATGGCATGGAATATCGCTGTGGTCAGCTGGGGCCAGCTGTCCTGGCTGTGTCCCCTCCCAACTCCTTGTTGCACCCCCCAGCCCACTCGCTGGCAGGGTGGGGTGAGAAGCAGAAAAGGCCTTGATGCTGTGTAAGCACTGCTCAGTGCTAACTAAAACATCCCTGTATTATCAACGCTGTTTTCAGCACAAACCCAAAACATAACCCCATACCAGCTACTATGAAGAGAATTAACTCTATCCAAGTCAAAACTAGCACAATGTTTCTTAAAAGAAACAAGGGCAGCAAGTAAGAAATGAAAGATAAGAAAGGGAAGTAGGCAGTCCTGGAGGCTGAGATTTGCCATGCCTTTGATTTGGCAAAATTTCTGTGTTTTTCTCCTGAAAATGAAACTAGTGAAATTCCTATTATGTTGTAGTATGCAGATAACTTAAAATATGGAAAGAACTTGTCACTTGTACCCCATACTCAACCTTAGACAGAAATCAATACAAAAAATTTACTTTGGGTTTTCCTGCAGCTCAAACTAGAAGACTACAAAGATCGCCTGAAGAAGGGAGAAGCCCTCAATCAAGACCAGTTGGTAAGTTTGCTTTACGTGGGAGTAGGTGACCTCAAAAATCTTCAAACGTGCCAGGAGGGATAGGTTGCTGATGGAGGTGGTGTAGTTTTACAGGAGTAATGCCTGCAGGCTTGCATGAGTATTTTTTCACAAAACCAAATGGACAAATTATTGGTGATTAAGCTGAATGGTGAGCCCACAAGCTTTGTCTCGTACTTTAACCTTCATGTTTGGTACTGAAGTAATAGAAGGTCCTGGTTTATCTTTGCTCTTTGTAGACTTTTAGCTTCAGTGTTCCTACACCTGTATTCCTTGATGAGGTGTCTGTATGCAGCTTGTCTACAAGGCGTTGCAGTGTTCGAACAGAAACCTCAAGACTTCTGGGGTAGCTAATTAATCCTTCTGACTACTTCATTAACAGGTGTTACTGAAATTGCCTGTTGGCTGTACAGTGCTGTTGGTTTCAAGTAGCTGTTAAAATATAACTTGTTAATGGTTCCTGTTGGTACTAATCAAGAGGCTGGTTTAATTTGTGTGGGATCTGCAGGCTTTGCTAATACAAGAATCTAGCTATGAGTTACTGACTTGGGAATACTCTCCTGTCCTTCTAGTGCTGCTGCTAGATGGCTGGGAGTCACCAGCACTCTCAAATGTTCTTAGAACAGTAAGTCTTTTTGGTGCCTAAGGCTGCTGGAGTTTGGAGTGCCAGGGTGCCTGATCACTAATCAGCAAATGTGATCCACTTTGCAGAGCTAGCTTAAACTTGTCTGATGTTAAAGCAGTGGTTCTGGCTTTTTTCTGTCTTGGACTAGAATGGATTCCAGAGCTGAAACCAGGTTTCTATAACATGAAAGCTGTTGCTGCTTTAAGCATGTCTGAGTAGCAGTGTCACATAATCCAAAGGGTTTATTGCTGTAGTCATCTAGGAGTTGCATTTTTAATATGTGCTTCACATCCTAAAGAACAATTGTGTGATAAAGGGCACTGATGCTTCAGTGGTAGTGCTGATCCTGGTAGTGAACCCGCTGGAGAAATACTTCATTGACTGTTAGCTTTGTCACACTGCAGCAGTATGAACACAAATACTGTTTCCTTACTCTAAAATCATTTGTAAATGAGACCTAGACATAAATGGAATAAGAGGGGAAATGGTAACTCACAACTTAGAAGTGGAGTAGACCTATTGGAGTGAATGATCATTTAGCACTTAACTACAAAATCGATGTCATCTCTTGCCATCTCAAAGGCCGAAGTAAAAGAATTAAATCTGATGGCTTGAAGTAGGATGATGACCTTTTAGTTCTAAACTCAATCTGGAATTGGGTGGGCAAGAGCAAGAGCCATTTGCGTTTAGATCATAGGTGTTAAATACTGTCTGTTTTCTTCTGTCACCAACAGACTATTGAACAGTATTCTGTGTGAGTTTGATTAGTCTTGAACACGTTTTAAAGCTACTTCTAAATTTAACTATTTATCTTTGGTATACACCCTGAATGGTGAAAGGCTGTTAGGTGAGAGTGAAATTAAGATGTGGGGAACTAAAGGTGAAGGATTCTACAAATGTTTTTCTTGCAAATGCATCCAGCAGCACTAACTGTGGAAAATGTATAGGCAATTAACTTGGTTACTGGCTTTCCATGTTTCTAGCTGAGCTTAACTTTTTAAGTATTAGTATTTTTATCTCAGTTTCTGGGATATCTCAGGCTTCTAAAATAGGGAATTTGATTCAGTTTTGCTAGTGAACTGACTAGTGGTAGTCAAAGCATGTAGCAACTCAGTATTTAACTAATAGTCCAGTCAAGACTGCCATTTCAGTGGTTAAAATACAGGAATACAGTATCTGTACTTTACAGATGCAAATTCCCAATGTAGATACAAATACTGGGACCTGGTGCTTGAAGCTAGAGCAGAGCTTAATAGCTGGGACACTTGCGTGAAGAAACCCAACTGCCTGTAACACAGTGGATCTCTAATGTAACTTCATGTAATCTGCATTTTTCATTGTTTCTCACACAGGGGAAGTAGCACACATCTGGTGATGAACTCGTTTTGCAAGCAGTTTGGGTTAGACTGTAATGACTTACAGGGCATGCCTGCCACAGCTGCTGTGTGTGCTAGCCTTACTTTAGGAAACTTTTTTTTTTCAAGAATGAGGAGCTTCCAGCAAGTTAAATGCTCTCACTGGCAATACTGTGCAATTTTGCAAGCTGAGCAGACTTTCTTCAGTAGTTAACAAACGTTAGTAACAGATGTGACAGAAGAAAGCTGTTGCTGTCCTGCAGGCTGAGTTACAGCTTGCCAGCAGAGCAGTGGTAACTGTTCTTGATGTTTGCAGGTAGGGAGTTTTACTCTGGGATTTGCGTGGTTAAAAGCATGATTACTGCAGTTTTAGTAAGTTGTTGGTGTCAAGGTGTGAGTTTTTCTAAAATGTTGACTGTGTGGGCACTGGTGTCTCAGAAGTCATTCTCCCAAGTGCTAAGCAAGCTTGCTAATTAGTTATTAAAAGCTGCTTGATGAGAGGACAACTTAAACTACCAAATGAGTGCTTTACAGTAACTCATGCACTTTGTTGTGATGAGTAGCATTTAGGCATAGTAATGTCTAGTATAATACAAATAAGTGAATACAGTAACTGAACAGTCAAACTGAACAAGTGAACATGTAATTTGTTTTCCAGTTGCTTAGGAACATATGTGGTGTTGCACAAATCTTTTTGGGGCAGTAGATTAAGCTTTTGTCACTGCATTGATGAAACACTTAACGTTAATGCCACTTTGAAAGAGCTTTATGTTAGACCAACAGGCCTGTTCTAGAAAAACTTGTGATGTCATGAGCATAAACTGAACTGAGTGTAAATCACATGTGAACAACTGAGATTAAACAAACTTGTTAACTCCCAGGCATGCCGTATGGTACAAGGATATGGGCAGCATGTCTGAACTACAGCATTTTGCTATCTTCAGAGCTGTCAAGGAGACTTAGAAAAACAAACCGACTCCTTAATGGGGAAGAACTGAACATATGGTATATCAAAATGCAATTAATGGTCTACTTCAGTCTTATTTGACTGGCTAGTCAAATATTGGTTAAAGATATTAGTGAAGTCAGGAACACTGCTTTATTTGTGGAAACCAAATTTGAAAGACCTTTTTCCTGAAAGTATGACTTCCCTTCTATATTGTTTTCTTCCTGAAATTTGTACAAATTATCTGTAAAGGGTGTTCAGCTAAGCATCAGGGTAAAAATCTGTGCTGAACTTGTCTGTCTTCTGTATTCCTTCCAGGCTTTCATATCAGTACCTGATTTTAAGTAGCTGTTTATGTCTGAGACCTATGGGAACAAAAGGAAAAATTAAATAACTGGTATCCGGGCTTTGCTGCTTCAGTGCTAGTGCATGAAGTATTGCACAAGATATTACCTGGAAAGTCTAATGGACATCTGTGGTGGTGTGAGCTGGCTTTGTACTGCGTCTCAGGCAGTCATGGGTGAATGATATTCATGACTAAATTTAAAGTACCAGTTACAGACATATCTTTAAAAAAGTTACAATTTCAGAGAAGTACACACTAAATGACTAGTTCTTAACAAGGAGTGAAGTACAAGGGAATTGAGAAGCAGTCTGAAGCATGAAAAATATGTTTTTATCTATTCCTTTGTAGGAGGCAGTAGAGAAATATGATGAAGTAGTACATAACTTGGAATTTGCCAAGGAGCTTCAGAAGACTTTTTCAGGACTTAGCCAAGATGTAAGTATAAAATGCTCTTTCCTATGTTGTTGGGAGGTAACTCTGAAGTTTGTGCTACTCTTCTAATGGCTACCCTTATATGCCAATGTGCAGAATGCTAGCAAGTTTCTATCTTGGAACTTGGGGAAAAATGTACTTAAATTGTCTGGAGTAGTGAGTAGAGCAGAGTATATGTTGTCAATTTTGTGTACCACTGACCCCCACAATAGTTATTTGCCGTGTACCCCAGTAAGAACTTGTGCTTGAGTAAATTGAGTCATTGGAACTTGGTGATGCTTGCAATGACTCCAATTTACTTAGGTCTGAAACTGTCAGGGGTCTTGCTGGTAGCTTGTGCTTGAGGTAGACTCATCCCCTGCATAGGTGCAGACTGGCGGGGGAGCAGCTCAACTGGAAAGGACGTGTAGGTCCTCGTGGGCGGCAGACAAAGTAAATTAAGTATATCCCCAGAGCAGTGAAGGCTAGGCTTAGACTGAGGACCAGCAGATTAAAGAGAACTGATTATTTGGTACTTGTTAACCAGTTGTGTCTGTTTCTGATCACTTGGTATGCAAAGGCTATAGATAAACTTCAGTGAGTCCAGTGGTGTGCCTCTGGCTGGGGGCTGGAGTGAGACCTGTGAGGAGAGCCTGGAAGAACCAGGCTTGTTGGGCCTGGTGAAGTGAAGGCTTGGCAGGAGAGACAATATTAGCTGTCAAATACCAAAGATTACCAAAAGGATGGAGCTAGAGTTTTTGCTGAGAGATGTGGTAGGAGAAGGAATGATCATAAATGATCATAAATTGAAATAGTAGGTTCTAACTAGGTAGGAGAAAAATGGTCACTCTGTGGATAATTGAGCACTAGAGCGGGCTGCCTAGAGAAGTAGTAAAATCTGCCCTTGGATCTTTTCAAGGCCTGACTGCACAAAGCTCTAAGCAATCTGGTCTTGATTCACCATAGCCTTTGTTCTGGAGGCTGGGCCAGATAACATCCCAATATCCTTTCCAATCTTTTGGCATTTCCAGTGAGGGAGAGTGCTAGGGTTAAATCACTTTGATTTCAGTAAGAAGTACAGCTCTCAGTAAAATGTTGCTGAAGCTTGTGGAGTTTGCCACTGCTATAATTATGGCAAGTCACAGATTTAGTGCTTTATTTCAATCTTTATTCAGGATTTACAGCACTACAAACATTATTTGTGTGTAAGCAAGTGTTTTATCTATGGAGAAACAGGTCTCTTGGTTGAAGTGAATACTATCCTTATCAAAAGATCTGATCCAAGGTGGTGCTGGGGATGCTAAACATGATTAGTCACTGCTCTGGCATTATTTCTCTGCCTCTTCCAGAATGCTGAAGGACTGGTAAAATGGCTTGTCTCAGTGTTGACTGAGACCCAAACAATTTTGCTAGAGAGGTTTTGTGTGTATGTAGTAATTCCAGCTAGTGCAGTAAATCTCTCGAAACACTGTGTGAGTAAAGATTTAAGAGCCCTTTCAGCAGTGTTGCTGCTTTGGGTTCCCTCAGTCATTGCATGTTGAACATAGAAACTACTGTGCTGAGAGTAAAAACTTGGATTGCTTCCTATTGCTGTCCTGCATGTAGCTGCCCATAAAATAGCAGAAATAAAGGATTGTAACCCAGTGTATCTTTCTGTAGGTGCTTTTAGTAATCCAGCATCAACTTTTACCCATTTGTATTTGTTCTTGAATTTACACTATGTTTAAAGGCTAGCGCACTTTGGTTTTTCCTTGGCTCTACTTCTACCAGTATGGATTCTACAGCCAATGGTCATTACTGGAGCACTAGGGTCCACTTTGGCAGCAGCGTCCCTGTATCCTTTACAGTGCATTTTAGAATACTACATTTTCACAGATCTTGCAAAGAAACTTCATACCCAATATTGAGGCATTTTTAGTTCTGCAGTTACTTGAATAGCTTTTGCTGCATAATTCTATTAGTACATGAGAGATTTCTCCTCAAATGTGAGGGCTATGTATGTTCTGTGACTTGTGTTGTTGCTTCTGTAATGAGTGCTTCAGTCTCCTGCCAACAGAAATAAGAGTAACTGTAGGACTCTGCTGTATCATTTAAATTGAGTATTCAAAAATGAGGAGGCAGTTCTAACTGGGAGAACTTTGGGACAATTTCTGCATCACTAACTTGATGTGATAAATGTTAAAGGTCAGCTAGGCTTGGATTTGTGCATTGGTATCAATTCCTTATATTCAGTTGTGAAAGCTGTTATAGTAAAGCAACTAGCAGGCATAATCAGGATCTACATATCAAAGGCACATCACAAATGAAGCTACAAGTATCCAGTTTGACTAAAAGCTAGATGTGTGGAGAATTAGTAGATAGCTGTTCCAGAGGAGGAGCTTGAAAGATCTTGGGTATCTGAAGAGACAATTAGGAGCTTCTGTTATCTAAACAAAATTAACAGTTATTTTGATCAATGTAAGATGATTGATGTTAGAACTTGATGTGTTTTATTCTGGAATCCCTGTTACAAAACCACTGTTGTTAACTGTTGAATTCATGTATTGAAATAGCTGCTGAAAGCCCAGAGGAAGGCTCAGCGAAGAGAGAGTCTGTTGAAGCTTGAAGCAGAGAAGAAAAAACTGCGTACAATACTTCAAGTCCAGTATGTGCTGCAGAACTTCACTCAAGAGCATGTTCAGAAAGATTTCAAAGGTGGTGTGAATGGTGCAATATACTTGCCTTCTAAAGAACTAGACTACCTCATAAGATTTGCAAAACTGACATGTCCAGAAAGAAATGAGAACTTGAGGTAGGTTCAAGATTTTTATCTAATTGGTATGCTTCATTCAGTATAGTAAGTGTCCTCTGTTTGACATTGCCATGTCTTGAAAAATTATGTTTTGGGACACTAATTAAAAATCTGTTCAGTATACTGGCTTTAGTCTGAGACTAGGAATGTAGCAGATCTACCTCATTCTGGGTGTTAAAGCAAAGCTGCAGTAATTGCAGCCTCAGTTGTCCAGGTTACACACAAGCCCTGCTGTCTTGTGTCTCCTTGTGGGGTTGAGGGAGGATAGTCCAGTACCCTCGTAAGCAGGGAGACTGGTGGCATGCTGTTTCCCTGGGTATCGCTGTTCATGAAATGAAGAAAGTGTGGTAAACAGGAGAACTGTTCTGTATTCCATTTGCATGGTGGTCCAGGTGTGCTTCTTCATTCTAAAGGAATGTAAGGTGGTAGTCCTGAGACTCTCTTCCTGTTAGCTTCAAAGTAGTTTTAAAAACTCGACTGAAGGTTCTAATAACTTTGCACTGTGTCATACATCTGATGAAGGTAACAGGTTGTCAGCAGTTGTAATGTGTGTCAGGATTAACTTGGCATCATGCTTGTACTATGATGGCTTATGGTTAGCGTGACAGCCTGTCTTTTAAGATAGTGGAGTAAGAATTGTATTTAAATATGTAAAAGGTAGTTACTAGATAGTAAGTTGAAACACTTTCCAGATAAGAGTAATTATTTCCATATTCAAATGGCTAATTATTTCCTTATTCAAACATGACATAAATCGATAAAACTTCTGATCACTTGTCATATGCTAAACTTGCCTAATCTTTGCTCTTAAGTTAACTTCTAAAGAACAACTGCTTACAAAAAGCTACACAATAGGAATCCCTCATCGCAGGGGAATAACTTTATTTCCAATTTATAATGCTCATTGTATTACACTTCCACAAGGATGATCCTGTCCTTTGGGATACTGAATTTCATCATGGTGGACTTTAAAAGCGATTGTCTGGAGGGGGTGGGGTGGCTCATGGACTATGTCAGAGTTTCTTGCTAACTAGCAGTGGCAGCAGCTGTTGATGGTTGCCCCTGCACATGTGGATCTGATCAGCAAGGTGATCAGCTGATTAAAGAGCAATTGTTTCCCTGTCTGGGAATCTTGGCTTGGAGTGAAGTCCAGTGAATATGGTTTTGCAGAGTAGTGCTAGGCTTTCTAATCTGTCTTAATTACCAACAAAATAACTTACTTTTGCTAGATTAAATATTGTACAGACACAGAAGAATCACTTCCAGCAGTGGATAATGGACTGAGGAGTCACTTGATGTATACAGCCTTAATTTGGAAGACTAAACATTAGTTAAAATGAGGGGTTTTGGGCTACTGCAACATTTGATCTTGGCTGTGATTCTACCTGGTAAAACTCCTTTGTTTTAGTGTGGAAGACCAGATGGAACAATCATCTCTTTACTTCTGGGACCTTCTAGAAGGAAGTGAGAAACCTGTAGTTGGAACAACATGTGAGTGTCTCATCTAGAGAAACAACTTCGATCTGAAATTTGTGTGCTATTTGAACATTTGAAAGCAAATAACTATAAATAGAACACTAGTAAATTAAGTACTTTCAAATACTGTGTGTTAACGCAGTTATCCAAGGATGAACTGCTGTTTGTTCCAATTTCTGTTTTTTAAGTACAGATCAAATCAATACAGTAAGTCTCTCCCTGGGGTAAGCAAGCGTGTTCTACTAATATACTAGCACCTTTTTGAGGCATAACGGTGGTAGAAATTCAAAAGGTGATACATGAATACCTTGCAGAATGAGCAGCGGGAAGCTTTTTGGATTGTTATGTGCAAATGGGTTCAGATGGGAACACTATTCCCAGCCGTGGTATGTTAGGTGAATGCACTGTGTGTTACAAAGCTTCAGTGGCCCCAGGCTGAAGGTCCCACAGCACTGAAGAGTCTCTTGTGGGAATTCCAGGCTCATACCCATTGTCTGACTGCAGTGCAGGATGCCACACTGAGCAAGGATGGTCATTAGTGAAACTTGCTGTGATCTCTGATCATGCACAGTGCAGTCTTGCTTTGATCTGTTGCAAATGTCCTCATTTCTCAAGCACACCAAAATCTGTGGGATTCCACATATTTTCATTCATCTGTGGCTTTTGGTTTCAGAAGCCCTGGTTGTAAGCTAATGTGCATGTTCTGTGTTCCTACTTAAAATTTTCTTGTGGGGAAGCTACTTGAGTTGTAGTGGCTTTCTTACTGTACACAGACCTTGCTTGTCCTGTTTGCTCCAGTCTTGTAATGGCTGTGTGGCAGTAATCTTTCATTTGTTGACAACAGTGTTGTTGAAACTGTTAGATGAGAGCACTAGTGTACCCTGTCTAATTCCCACATGCAGATGGTTGAACTGACAACTAAGCATTAACTCTTTTCACATAGTTCTGGACAAAGTGCAAGGTGGCCTTGTAGAGCTACAGGCTGGTAACCTTAGCCTTGTATCTGTTGACATCAACCAACAGTTGCCTGGTTATCTTAGATTCCAAATTTTTCTAGCTTTTTGGCTATCATCTAAATTTTTGACTATTTTGTCAGTATCTCTGTCCCTTTAGTGTCAGTCTTCCATCCTTTTGTGTGCAAGCTAAACTTCAGATAAAGCTGTTATGATTTTTTTTATTAGCATTCATTGCCTTGGAAGGCAGTTTTTATATCCATATTGAACTCTAGATATTTTTGTTTATGTGGTTGTCACTAGTAGGAGTGATCTTTCACTGAAGGTTCTTCCTGTTCTCAAGGCTGCCCTGTCTCTGGCTCCTCTGAAACAATTTCTGGTATCACTGCTACTTCTGAGGTCTTACTCTCTACTGAGCTGCTGTTTCCCTTTTGCATAAAGGGAACTGGACAATGCTCATTGGAAAGAGTACACACAGTTAAGTTTTGCTTCAACCATGTCAACTTTGTTTTCCAAAACTTCAGAGGATCTAGTTCAGTCTGGAGCAATCTCTTGCTTCCCCCCACTTGTTTTTGCAGTTCTTAACTTTTCCTTCTGAGACTTACCATCCTACACTGGGAAGAGGGACTTGTAAGGCAGTTCCACAGTGACTTTGTTTAGCTTTACCTATGCTACAGTCTGCATGATGTGCTTTTAGCATCAGTGCTGGCTAGTTGATAATGGTAAGCAAGTCCCTTTCTAAGCATGTGGGAGACCAGCTGGCTTAGTGTTTAGCTTGTGTGCGTTTAAACACAAGCTGTGGTCTTACCTCTGGATTGCAAAGATGATTTCAGCTAGAATATATAAAGCAGTTTAACAAATACTGTACTAAAAAGTTTTATTACTGTAACTCAGTAAGAGGAGAACTTGGGAGAACTTTCAGTTTATATAAAAGGAGGAAAGAGGAGTCTTGATCTGCAATCTGAATACTCCTTAAATTCATACTTTTGCATCTTAACTTCATGGATTTTTACTCTTCAGATAAACACATGAAGGACCTGTTATCCAAACTTCTAGACTCTGGCTACTTTGAAAGTATTCCGACTCCTCGCACCACTGTGCCAGTGAAAGAACTGGAAGAAGAAGTAAATAGAAAATCTGAGAGAACAAGGCAGATGTCAAAAGGAGAGTCTGTCAAAGAACCAGGTGGAATATTACAAGGTTCAATTTCTGTAGCATAATGTTGGGATAAGCTTGCACTGAGCCTTGACTTTGCATAGCTTGATGCTAAATCTAATACTGTGCTGTAGCTTACTTGCAATGTAGTAACTAAAATGGAACCTGCAAGGATTGCAGCCCTATTCTGGCTCATATTGCACAAAAAAAATCTAATTACTAGTAATGGGATGTTTCTTGCCTTCTGAGCAAGCCTCCATGTTGAAGATGTGAAAATTATCTGGTGTAGGGA